TTTTTTTTAAAAAGAGGTGGCTCAACCATCAAGACTCATATATATCTAGCCAGATCCTAAATGCTATTACCAGAGAAAATGGCAATCCTGGCTTTTTCTCCTTTCACATACATCTTTCAGGCTGGTGTTTTGGGACTGCTTTTCCATCTTGGTTGACCTAAATATTCACTCCACACTAACCCACACCTGTACAGAAATGGTACAAGAACAGTACACCGTGTTAGATTTCCTGGTCCCGTACCCCCTAGAGAAAAATAGTAGAAGTTCCCTGTCATGGTTACTCAAGCACTTTGGTACACAATTTTACGTAACTGGGCTACAGGGTTGTGATTATTCCCTCAGTGTTAGGACCCAAATGGCCTTAATGGGGTGTATCATGGCTTCCTGCTCTTCTTCTTAGGATATGTGTAAAGTACTTTATTTTTCTTCAGCTTTTTAGACACTAAGACCACAGATTTTGGAAAGGGGCAAACCAAGGTTCAGATCTCCACTCTAACACTGGCTAGCTGAATGACCTTAGGTTAGGGATGGGCATGTGACCCACATTGGTCCAAAAAGATTTATGCCATACTTTAGCTGGAACAATTGGAAAAGATAAGCTCTTTTTCAGCTAGTATTTTCTTGCTTTGATGTGGCGCTTCTTAGTACTACCATGTGGAAATGGCTTCCCCGGGAGAGAAACTAATGCAAAGGAAAGCAAACCAAACTTTAGATAGTTTGAAATCAAACCAAGTGACATCACTTGATACCCTGGATCTAGCAGTCACTGAAGGTACATCTGCCCCAGGCCAGTTTAGTTACACATGCCAGGTAGAGTGACTGCATTAAAGGCCCCAATTCTTTACCCCTTCCTGAATCTATGTCCTTGGCATGCCCTCCCATCTGACTCTGAGTTCATTCATATGATTTGCTTTGGCCCATAATGTGATAGCAAATGCAAAGGAAGCAGAGGCCTGAAGTAGCACTTGTGTATTTACTCTTTTCCTCATTTTCTTCTGTAGTACTAATTAGAATATGCCCAGTGTAGGGGCGCCTGGGTGGCTCAGTCGGTGTTTGACTTTGGCTCAGGTCATTATGTCATGGGTTTGTGAGTTCAAGCCCCATGCCCTGTGCTGACAGCTCAGAGCCTGGGGCCTGCTTCAGATTCTGTCTCCCTCTCTCTGCCCCTCTCCTGCTTGAACTCTGTGTCTCTCTCTCTCTCCCTCTCAAAAATAAATAAACATTTAAGAAAAAAAAAAAGAATATGCCCAGTGTAGCCTGCTGGAAGATGAGAAATATAAAATAGAGCCACAGTGTCCTAGCCAATAGCCAACCAACCCCAAGACATTTGAGCAAGCCCAGCCAAGATCAGCAGAGCTGCCTAGCCAACCACCAGCTGACCACAGATGCATGAGCAAGTCCAGTGAGCTCCATACACTCACGGACTAAAAAAATACTTCTTAGTATGTCATGATGTTTCGCAGTTGGATGTTCTGCAGGACTTCTGGAGCAACAGACAATGGATACATTCACTCATAAGTTTCTTTTTTCATTCCATTCTAGTTGGGGTATCTTATACCCTAAAGAGTCCTCATATATAGTATGAAAAATATTTTCCATAAAAGTACCTCCTTTTCCTAAAAAGTCCCTAAAAATAATTAAACTCCTGTTTAAAAAGAATTAAAAATAAATATGTTTATGTCGCTCAGGACTTTATTTTGTTTTACTTGAAAAAATACACAAATTATTTTGGGGGTGCCTGGGTGGCTCAGTCAGTTAAGCAGTTGACTTCCACTCAGGTCATGATCTCACGGTTCACGGGTTCAAGGCCTGCACCCGGCTCTCTCCATGCTGACAGCTCAGAGCCTGGATCCTGCTTCAGCTTCTGTGTGTGTGTGTGTGTGTGTGTGTGTGTGTGTGTGTGTCTCTCTGTCTGCCTCTCCCCTCACTTGTGCGCGCTCTCTCTCTCTCTCTCTCAAAAATAAATAAACATTAAAAAAATCATTTTGTATCTAAGATTTTTTTCATGATAATGTGTTCTGTAGGAAAGGTAAATCAACAGTTCCAACAATAGTAGTTACATATATGATGAGAGAGACAGACAGTAGAATAATGTGACCGTAATATGAATAGTTAATGAGATGGAAAGATGTTCATGACATACTAGTCAGGGCAAGGGTGTTGGAGCAGACTACAAAACATGTTTATGGTTTAATCACATTGTAAAACACACATACATACACACTAACCTACAGAGAAGACTGGAACAACACACATCAAAATGTTAACAGGGGTGTCTGGATGGCTCAATCGGTTAAGCATCTGACTCTTGATTTCAGCTTAGGTCTTATTAATCTTACAGTTTGTGAGATCAAGCCTCAAGTGCTGTCAGCACAGAGCATGCATGGGATTCTCTCTCTCCCTCCCCCTCTGCCCACCCCCTCTCAAAATAAATAAGCATTTAAAAAAATGTTAACAGTGGTAGAATTCTAAGTGGTTTTCATTTTCTTCCTTTTATTTGCATGTGTTAAATTTTCTATAATAAACATCTTTTCTACTGTCTTTTTAGTCTCGATTTCATTTATTTCTGCTCTGATCTTTGTTATTTTCTTCCTTCTACTAACTTAGGGCTTAGTTTATTCTTTCTCTAGTTCCTTAAGGTATAAAGTTAGGTTGTTTATGTGAGATCTTCCTTTTTTTCTTAATGTAGGTGTTCATCACTGTGAACTTAAGAAAATATTTTTTTTCCTTCTAAAAATTCCAACAGTTAAATGAACGTGTTATTTTTGCTATGCTTAGAATCTAGGAATCTAGGTCCTAGCTGAGCCACCACTTACAGAGTTGTCTTCCTAGAAGTGATAAAATCTAACTTGC